CAAATAAATGCATCCTTGGTGAGCATAAGAGACTTCTTTCAAAAATTCTTAAATCTTAAATTCTTAATTTAAATCTTACTGACACTACACTTTTGAACAATAGTATACCAAAACTAATCAAAATAGTATTTCAATATCAAACCCAGCACCTCTCTTGTTTTTTGCCATGACATTGGCTCCAGCTTTGATGAGATACTCTACACAGCTGAATCGACAGCTTTCAATAGCTCTCATGAGTGGAGTTGCTCCATTCATTGCCACTGCATCCACCATGGCTCCAGATTGCACCAGCATGATGGTAATGTCTACCCGACCTGCATGGCAAGCATGGTGGAGGGCCGTCAGCCCTATATAGTCAAAGAAACATAATGTTTTTAAATTTACACAGTCTAACGGTCCTCCAAATACATTAAATGTGTAAATCTTTATTTTTCTTAGTAGCATTACCTCTTAGTAGCATTACAGAAATTTAGCTACTTGGTAGTTGCCACACCTACACGCCGTCATGAGTGGCGTCTTAAAGAATTGATCTTTGACATCAACAGGCACTTGTTGGGTAAACGCCAGGCTCAGAGATTCTAGATCTCCAGTCTTCACACAGTAATTGATGTTGGTATAGATCTTTTCAGGCTCATCGATATACCAAGCCAAGTCATTCTCAATGGGGTGAATTGGAGGCCGGTCTGGGTTGAAACATTTGGTGTCAGTAAACGGCTGGTAGTTCTCAATCATGTAGTTAGGTAATCCACTGTCCTCTCTTATCGATATCTGCTCAGGTGGCATTATGCATATGGGCAATGATGAGGCAGATTTGCCACTCTTCTTTTCCTTGCCACCCTTTCCCCTCTTAGCCTGCTTAGGAGCATAGGATGAGATGACAAAGGCCTTCTGAAGGCACTTGAGGCCTTTGAAAAAGTAATTTACGTTGATGACACTTTCACGGTTTTTGTCATGTTCCATGATGATCCTTTGCAGGTTCTCATTACTTACAACAGCTTGATGCGCTTGAAGTGAAGACACATAATTCTCCACAGAAATATTTTCAACAGGTTTGTCAAGTCCCTCAGCAGTTTCAAATGCTCTGCGCTAGGTTGCCTCATGTTCGCAAGACCAGTCGTGAAGGGTGACGGCCCAGAGTTCGTTGGGGTTTACAGCATCAGGCGCAGAAAGCTTCACATGCATTTTCTCTGCTTTTTTGATCTCCTTCAGGGCAGCTTTGCGGCCATTGCTTTGTTGCAAGTTAAACAATGGCAAATTTTGTGCAAATTCAGAATGCCATGGAATAACCTCAAGGAAACCTCCTTCTGCAGCAAAGTGGGCTGCACACCGTCCTTCTTGATCAAGCAAGTCAGGATTCCCTCCTTTTTGTAAAATGGCTCTGACAAGCTTCAC